ATATATGTATATGACCATATACAACTATTACTGTTGCCTACATAATCTCTAAAAACATAGCCTTAAGAAATGTTGTGGGCAAAATTAAATGAAACAAAATATTTATGCAATTCGAGCAGAAAGCAGCTTGTGTCTAAATGACATTAAGATCAATTTTAGTTTATGTATGCTAAACTTTCCAATAAGAAAACATGTATGGGTCTACCTGGAAAGTCAAAGTAGACAGGATTACTTATCATAGTTGGGAACATGAAGGTGGGGAGAGAGGGGAGGGTGGAAGATAAAGATAAAGATAAAGCGGTTTGCACTGGTTTGGATGTTGGTTTATTGATACAAATTTAAGGTCAATTTTGTTATATTGTATATGTGTGTATGTATATATGTGCATATATATATATATATGTCTGCTCTTGATTAAAGTATTGTGCTTGTGCAGCTTATTTAAAAATGTAATGTATAATTAAGAAATATAGGTAAATAGATAATCGCCATAATAGTCAAGCTTGTAGTCATGTTAGTTAGATTTTCTAGATGAACAGATATGTATTTCAAATTGATAGACATTCTTCAAACCTTTCGAAGACTATACAAAATGTGGCATTTAAAATGGATTAAAAAGTTAGCACTTTTCATTACGTGAGACACCTCTGTTCCTGGCAGCACCAATTACTTCAAAAGGAATATGGGCCCTTGCCTGGACTTTTGACTTATGCTGTTTGAACTAGACAGGCAGGACCCAAACAAAAATGACTGCTGAAGTAACTTAAAGATAGTGAGACACCTTTAACCTTCAGGGTTTCTGCTTCATGACAGAGTCTACCAGACAATCTTTCTGTAGGACAAAAAAGAAAGCAACTGATGAACTTTGCCATACAAGTCAAAACAAATCTTCAAATTTCCTGCTTCATGAAAAAGTCTGCCAGATACTATGGGCCAGTAGGCTGAAGATGGATGCCCCAATGATACAGAAAAACTTTGGGTGACTTTCCAGGCAGTGAGATGTTTCCGTCAATTCTAGAGTTTTGGAAGTTGCTTACAATGCACCTCATGTTTACTTAGGTAATATTGTATCCTTTTGAAGTCTTTGCTGGAGTTGAAGATTTTATAGTGATAGTTATATTTTATTAGCTATGATAATGTACATATTACCTGCAATTCTTATTTAATACTTGTTTGTTATATGTAATTTTACTATGTTAAAGTAACAATTTTCCTTTTTATTTAAACAAAAGGGAAGGTGATGTGGAATTCCACTCCATATGCAGTGAATACCATTTGCTAATAAAGAAACTGTGTTGTCCTGATAGGGTAGAACAGAACTAGGTGGTGAAAGCTAAAATTAATGCTGGAAGAAAGAGTAGGAGCCAGGGAGAAGCCATGTAGTCCCCCTGAAGCCAGACAGAACTTTACCTCATAAGCCACAGCCACATGGCAATATACAGATTTAAAAAAAATGGGTTATTTTAATATGTAAGAGCTAGCTAATAAGAAGCTAGAGCTAATGGGCCAAGAAGTGATTTACTTAATACATTTTCTTTCTTTTTTTTCAGCATTTTTTAAATTTTTTATTAAAAATTTCAACCTCTTCCCATTTCCCTTCCCCTACCCCCATCCCCTCTCACCATCCCTCTCCAGGCCAAAGAGTAGTCAGGGTTCCCTGTCCCTTGGGAAGTCCAAGGGCCTCCCCTCTCCATCCAGGTCTAGGAAGGTGAGCCTCCAAACAGACTAGGCTCCCACAAAGCCAGCATATGCAGTAGAATAAAAACCCAGTGCCATTGTCCTTGGCTTCTCAGTCAGGTCTCATTGTCAGCCATGTTCAGAGTCCAGTTTGATCACATGCTCCATCAGTCCCAGTCCAGCTGGCCTTGGTGAGCTCCCATTACATCAACCCCACTGTCTCATTGGGTGGGCGCACCCCTCATAGTCCTGACTTCCTTTCTCATGTTCTCCCTCCCTCTGCTCCTCATTTGGACCTTGGAAGCTCAGTCCAGTGCTTCAAGGCAGTAGAGGAGAGGGTCCCAAACTTGCATTGCCCTGTAGTCAGAATGATGACTCTCTTAAATATCTTAGTACCTTCATCCAGCAACTGATGAAAACCAGAGGGACCCACATTAGAGCACTGGATTAAGCTCCCAAAGTCCAGTTGAAGAGTGGGAATAATGAGAATATGAACAAAGGGGTCAACACCATTATGGCTACAACCACTGAAACAGTTTACCTGAGTTAATGGAATCTTACCAACACCAGTTGGACTGGGAGGAATCAAGCACAGGGCAAAACTAGTACCTCTAAATGTGGTTAACAGTTTCATGGCTGGGGCAGACTGATGGGCCACTGGCAGTAATACCAGGATTTGTCCCGGGTACATGTACTAGCTTTTTGGGAACCTATTCTTTTGGATGGATAGCTTGCTCAGCCTGGATATAGTGGGAAGGGCTTTGGACCTTCCCCAAAACAATGTACCCTGCCCTCTCTGAGGAGTAATTGGGTAGGGATGGGGGATATGTGGAAGGAATTGGAGACGGGAGGGAGTGGGAACTTGGATTGGTATGTGTAATGGAAGGAGGTAATTTGTTTTCTTTTTTTTAAAAAAAAATGATATCTCGGGGCTGGAGAGATGGCTCAGCGGTTAAGAGCGTTGTCTGCTCTTCCAAGGTCCTGATTTCAATTCCCAGCAACCACATGGAGGCTCATAACCGTCTGAAATGAGGTCTGGTGCTCTCTTCTGGCCTACAAGCACACATGTAGACAGACTATTCTATACATAATAAATAAATTTTTTAAAAAAGTTTCTCTCATAACTGCTAATTAACCTCTTTTTAAATGATTATTTAAAATTATTGTGATTATTCAATATATGTATTGATAGTAATAATATATATTCAAATTAAATTTGTAAAGTCTTATAGATCTTGATGTTCAAATTAAGACATAATTCATATAATAAAACATAAATATATATTTTATATATATTGCAATTGATAATTTTAGATGTTTTGCCTTTATCACAGGAAATTAAAATACAGTAGTGTATTTAAAAGCATATTCAGTCAGTTTTGCTTTTAAAAGGAAAGTTTAATGACTAAAACAGTAATTCATTGAGGGGAAAGAATGCAACAACTGTGAAAAAATAAAAAGACATAAATGTGTAAACTAATTTACAGAACTTGATACTGTGAATGTCTCATATGTTTACTCAAAACACTGATGTGGAAGATTCCTTGCAGTTCTACAGAACATTGGTTCTAATCTGAATTTATACTGCCACCTGCTACCACTGATTTTGTTATTATGTACTATAATACCTATGTATAGCCACTGACAGAACTCCATGACAAATTAATGGAAAGTAGGTGTTTTGTTTTTAGGAGTGTTTTATAATTTTTCTTCTAAAATGAGTCCTTAAAATCTCAAGACCTAAAAATATTTTGAATTAAGTAGAAATATGACAAAGAGGGAAAACAATGCTGAGAATATAAGCATCATTTTAAACTGTGAGTCATTCCAATCTTTAAAATTTCGCCAAGAAGATATTTTAGTTATTAATAATTGAGATGCTTGTGCTGTCTACAGTTGCCATAGATGTTTCAAATTATGTATTGTGTTATACAACTTGATTGTTGTTTCATTGTCTGGTGTAGGTTAAATTCCTAGGTTAAATCTTTTGAATGTAGTTGCTACTTGTAATGCAAATCATAATTCTCAATTATCATAAGGGTTATCATAAGGGTTTCAGTTTGTAGTAGAAATAAGTTGGTACATTTCATGTTTAAGATATAAGCTAAGGCTGCTAAATATAGTTCAGTAACAGAGCATTTGCCTGGCTGCGTGAAGGGAAATGTCCATTTCAACACTGATACTGGAAGGGTGGAAGACAGGAAGAGGGGGAGAGTAGAAGAATGGGGAGACGAAAATTCTTGGATAGTGAATATTGTTCAGTTGGTAGAATGTTTGCCCAACTTGCAAGGCTTGCTGGATTCAGTCTCTAGTACTGCATGTCCTGAATATATGAGATAGAATATGAAACTATATTTAAATTACATAAAATAGATGTGAATCATATATTATATTGTACTATATTGAACTTGAAATTTGGATTCTCAAATAATGGGAAATCTTAAAGTCCTTAACCCTTATAAAAGAAACTGTCTTTAAAATGGTTAGAGACCATTATGGATAAACACACTCAATAAAATATTTAGTTGTGGATCCCAAGCCCAATGGAGATATCTGTAAAATGCTTCTGCACCTAAGTCTCAAGTAATATTACAAAGAAGAGTCTAAAAGAATGTAAAAGCCAGAGGATTGGGAAAGTTGTGATATTGTATCTCCTTGCATGTTTGTAATTTATAGAAATAAAGTCTCAATACGATTGCCTTTAAATATGACCTAAGCAAAAATGATACCAAAACACAAGCTGTAGTAGAGAGATCTCTAACTTAAATAAAGTAATAAAGGCGTCAAAGAATTGCTTAGAATGAGTGAAATACACTTCTCTAATGAAGAACATATCAATTGGTTATTTGATACTAAAAAAACGCCCTGAAAATGTACATAAGTGTAGCACTATACAAACAGAGCAGGTTACATTTAGGAATGCATAAATACATACATATTTTTATGGAACAACAATTAATGATTGTTATAATAAATTTGTTAAATAAATTTGAAAGAGCATGGTGGCATATATGACAACATTTGGAGAGAGGAAACAGAAGGAAGACAAGATGAAATTATAATCTCAAAACTGAAAAAAATTAAAAAACATTATTGAGTAAACATTGCTGGTATGAATGTAATTTAGTTTATTGCCCTATAAAATTGAGATTTTTTTATATGTGTGCTACTCATAAGTAACAATAAATATTTAAGTATATGTTTTTCTGTGAACAATACAATAGAACAAGCAAATGATTCACTTGAGACTTCATATTCTTATCCATCTAATTTGTTCATTGATTTTAAACTAATCAGTTAAAATGCTTAGATGTGCAGCTTACCTTCCACACTCCAGATAGCAGGGCAGGAAAAAATTAATACTAGAATAATATAAAAAACAGATAATTATGGTTAACAAATTTTGTTATGCAAATGTGGGATTTCCAATCACTATTTAATGTTCCAATCCATGTTCAGATATTAATTTAAAACCTACCTAATATTTACAGTGTTAAATTTCCAACAAAACAGAAGGCTTCAACGGTATAAGTACATGTAAGAATCTGTATTTATGCCTCTTTTCCCTTTGAATGGGAAAGAAAATTTAATTTGAGCTTCCTCAGATGGTGTAGGAGGTCCTTCTTTATTTGTATTTCTTGCATTGGTTGAATAAATAAATGTCTTGGCCTTTAGATAGGGCATAACTTAGATAGTTGTGGAAAAGAGAACTGAATGCTGGGAAGAAGGGCAATGTGGCAGATGCTATGAGGCTCCTGCCTGGGAGTGACTCTGATTAGAATCCTTCCTGATAAGCCATGACCTCGTGGTGTTGCTCAGATTGGTAGAATGGGTTAGATCAGGATGTGAGAGTTGGTCAAGAAGGGGCTAGATATAATGGAAAAGGCAGTAATTTAATTAATATAATTTCTGTGTGGTTATTTTGGGGGTTAAGCTAGTTGGGCAGCAGGACGCAGGCCTGTTCCTCCTACAACACTCAGATACCTCTAGAGGTATAGTTCAAAGGTAAGCCATGTTTTCACTCAGAATGAAATTACTCCAATATTTACAACGAGGTACAGAGGCAGATGTGACACTAAGATGTGACACTAAAAAGAGAATATAGGGAAAATTGTGTATTCTTGAAGGTAAAAGAAGACAAGAAAAAAATAAAATAAAATATAAATAAAATATAGAGGACACTAAGTTGGTTTGGAAAGAAATGGGAATGGCTATAGAAAGAATGAGGGAGGGGTGGTTAGGATCTAAATATATTATGTAAAAGTCTCAAAGAACACATTAAAATGTAAAAAGGAAGCTACATAGAAAAGGCATTGTACAGAGCTAATAATTTCATAAAAGTTAATAAAAATATACTTGGACAAATGATCTGGCCTCATTCTTATACACCTAATCTGACTTTTACAATTTTTTGATGTTTCTACATAATTTCTTGAACTCTGAGGTGAGATGTTGTATGTGCATTTTTTGTGCATTTTTTAAAAAATTATAATTCCAATTTGCTTGTATTTTTAATATTCCTATTATTTTTTCTGAAGAGAAAGAATAAGAAGGCATAGATTAGATGGGTGAATAGGCGGGGAGAATATTTTAGGATATAAAGTAGGGGAAACCATAATCATATTACATTACAAAAAGCATTTCAGTCAAAAAGTATAAAAAAATAAAAACAGTTTCCTAATCACTATTTTTTTAAAATCATGAACTCATTTGAAGACTAATCTTTATCTTTGTTTTTTCCACTTAATTCTTAGTTATCAAATTTCTATATGAATGAATACTACTAACTTTGTAACTGTGAGTACCATTTCATATCCAAGGATCAAATACCCCCGAACTAGGGAAATAGCTCAGTCTGAAAAGGTGCTTGCTGCGCAAATCAAATTGCCTGAGTTTGATCCTGGATTCCCTGGTGGAAGGAGAGAACAAGCTCCTGAATGATATCCCCTGTCCTCCAATCGCATGCCTTTATACATGTCACTAAAATATTTCCAAAAGCGTACAATACAAATTTTGAGTGAAAATCATGCAATGTATTAAGTGACAAGTGCCATACTATATATTTAGTTATACATATTTTTAAACTTTAATATTTAATATCATGAGATCATTCAGAGGAAATATCAATTTTACATAGAATACAAATTATAAGAGATTATCAGGATTATCTATATTTTAGCTATATTTGAATCTACATTAAAAATATTTTTAGCATACAAGGTTCACATATTCACTCCTCTACAAAAAAATTGAGAATGGAAGATTTCTTCTTTGCAACATGCATGATGTACTCTGTACCCAGAGTGTTTCTTCTACATCCTAGGAATGTGATCTACCTACAGGAATTAAACATTAATTCAATAAAGTAAATGCATTATTATTTGTGGCTTGTGTAGCATGTGACTGGGTTGCTGAAAATTCTCCAAAAGATCGACAAATTCTATACTTACGTAATCACTGTAGAGGCTAACTGAGAGGATAGCAGAGCACAATTCATTCATACAAATTTATGAAAATCTATGAAGTGAGCATAGAGAAGAATTTCAGAAAGCTCTAGAGTAACAACACTAAGGAATCTTGCAATGACTTTATCCTCTAAATCATGATGAGCTGCTGTAGGAACTCCTTCAGCCAATAGCCTTTAAGATACCAGCCCACTTGGGTGTGGCCTCTTATACCATAAATACTGATGTAAAGTGCCTTAAGTGCATGCTCTCTCTCTCTCTCTTCTAGATACTGGATTAGGTTCTTGTGCCCCATTCATGCAGAGGACTATGATCTGTGAGTATACCCCTAAAGAAATAACCATTTATTATACTCATTTCTGAGCTAGTGTGAGATTTCGTTTTAGCATCTGTCTTCATTGAGCTTCCAAGGAACTTTGCTGAAAAGTTTATACTGTGCTATTATATTAGCAAAGCCTCCAAGTTAATGATGAATATATGTCAGGGAACTAATCAAGGCTGTTTTTGTTTTTATACCCAAAGCAGCTTGTAGATGCACTGAAAGCTATGTTGCTATTACCACCAAGATGGAAAGAAATCAAACCAGCATAATTTTCAGTTTTTCTACCTGTGAAAATATCTCAAAAAACTTCAACATTTTTTCTGTTAAAGAACTTTGTAATTTTCCTGATAAAACATGATTTTTCATATAATATTCACTTTAAATCCTCTGACCAAGAAAGAAAGACTTATATTATTTCAAGAAGGGTTACAGAAATAGCTAACATTTTAGGGGTAGTTCTAAAATGTGAGCTAATTTTAATTGAGGAAGAAATAACATTGAAAATAAAAAATAATAGTGTCTACGCTGACAAATTTATTATTATATATTTTGTAGTAGAAATATCTGTATACAAACACATTTTTTTCTGAACCAAATACATTTTCATAACAGTTTCTTTTACACTTTACTTCAGAAACTCTCCCAAAGTCATGACCTCAATTTACAGGAAAGTACACAGGTTTATTCAGTGGATATTTTGCTGTGTTTGGATAGGAGATAGACAGTGCTTTATTTTGTGATGACTGTATCGTGTACTTGTAGGCTTACTTTAGCTGTTTACTGATGTAATATCTGTAAAATTCTCTAACTGTCAAAATTCAATACATGTGGTATTGCTTGTCTGTGGCCCCTTTAAAGTATCACAATTATAGCAGTTGGAAGTACCACAGTGAGAGTACTGGATATTGAATATAAGTCCTCTCAGGGGAAGTAAATCTCCATAGGTCTCAGTCATCTCTCCAACTCTGGAAGAGCTGCCATTTCAATGTGTTTATAATTGGTTACTTTTCTACAAGTTCTTAGTACTAAATTTGATCTTTGCTTTATGAAATTCTTTAAACTATTAGCTTTTATTATATATATATATATGTGTGTGTGTGTGTGTGTGTGTGTGTGTGTGTTTGTGTTTGTGTGTGTCTGTGTATATGTATATGTGTGTGTGTGCATGTGTGTGCATCCAAAATGTTCAGCATACATGAGAAAGACTATGTAGTATGCATACATTAAGAGAATATTAAAGATAGCAAATAATTACTTACTGTCTCACTAATATCCCTTATCCTTTTGTGATATCCTGGTGCCCTAACCAAATACAACCATATATATTCCCTGTGAAAAAAAAAATTCCCATAATTAGTTCCCTAATTTAAATAAGGAATAATTTACTCAATCGGTCCATACTGGATGCAAATAAAGAGACAACATGAGAAGTTTGTTTAAATAGAAATCATTAGTTATGTGTGGCTAGTCATTCTTTTCCCAGGTGTGGTCCTGCTTATCATTGAAACATCTATTCTGCTGAACCTTTTGGCAAGAAAACGGGTTAGACCTATGTGTAAAAACTCTTCCTTGAAGACAAGATCATCATACGACTGGTACTAAGCTTTCCATTTCTCTTCCCCCAGTGTGAAGTTCTAGTTATTTTTGATTCCTTGTAACCTTATTTATCAAGTTTCATTCTTTAATCTTAAATATTGTTTAGTGTAGTACCTGATTTTGTGAAAATAAATTTTTCTGTATTAATGGGTATGATGGTCAATCTTTTATGTCAGTTTAACAAGATATGATATGAATTAAATTTCTAGCATCTAGATTCTCCTGTGTGGATTTTCTTAGATGACTTGAGGTTAGAAGACCAACTTTAAATGTGGTAAGCACTTTATGCTGACAGTTTAACAAAAGAATATTGGGAAAAAAGCTGTTTTGTGGGGTTTTGCCTTTTACTCTGATGGCATGTTCATCTATTTTATGGATGACATTAGAACCAGTATCTTAGGTCATCCAACCAGCAGCTTTCTTGGTATCTTAAAGATTTTTAGTGTCAGGTTATGACTTCTGAGCAGATTTATGTACTGAAAAATTTTTAGAATTAGTTTTATACATTCAGGAAACAGGTGATGCTTTATTTAAAATTCTTATTTATTATTTTTGTGTTTATAGGAACAAGCTTCTTTCTGAAGGCTACAGGATTGCTTTATGAACTCAGCATTTTTGTTCTCCTACCTAAGTTTGCTTATGTCTTCATTCAGACTTGTCAGTTGTGTCACAAACAGCCAAACACACACACACACACACACACACACACACACACACACACACACACACACACAAGTATGTATGAGTTTATTGTAAGTTTACTTTTTCTGGCTAGAAGAAAACACTGGTAAATAAAGAGTGATCCATTAATTTTTTAGTTTAAATTTATATGCAAACAAATGAGAAACAATGAAAGGTTTTCCTCATATAAAATTGCAATTACTCCTTACCAATATCTCACTTTTAAACTATTAAACTTGTACTTGCTTTTTTCAATTTATTTGTGTAAAAAGAAATGCAAAGAGCAGACGTGG